GCGCGCTCAGCCAATCCGGCTGGAGGCGGGACCTCCTCAAGACACTATATAAGGGAGGAGACTGCAGTGGAGACAGGGCGGCTCCGGGCCGGGCTGGGCCCGAGCAGCCAACGTCACGCTCGCCCGATCTTGGTGATGTCATCGCACGTCAGACTGCCACCAGCTCGGTGATGTCATTCCACATCAAACTCTCCCCAGCTTGGTGATGTTATCCCACATCAAACTGCCCCCAGCTTGATGATGCCATCACCTACATCAAACTGCCCCCAGCTTAGTGATGTTATCGCCTATGTCAAAGTGCCCCCTCTTGGTGATGTCATTCCACATCAACCTCTTCCCATCTTGGTGATGTTATCCCACATCAAATTACCCCCAGTTTAGTGATGTCATCCCATGTCAAACTGCCCCCAGCTTGATGTCATCGCCCATATCAAACTGCCACATCTTGGTGATGTCATCACTCACATCAAACTGCCCCCAGCTCGGTGATGTTATTCCACATCAAACTCTCCCCATCTTGGTGATGTTTTCCCACGTCAAACTGCCCCCAGCTTAGTGATGTCATCCCATGTCAAACTGTCCCTAGCTTTATGTCATCGCCTATGTCAAACTGCCCCATTTTAGTGATGTCATCACCCACGTCAAACTGCCCCCAGCTTGGTGATGTCACCACGCACCTAAGTGCACCCACCAAATGATGGGCTATTTACACGGCAAATCACCGTTGTCAGCTGAGGTGATGTCACCCCCCCACCCCCCACCCCCATCCAACTGCCAGGGGGAGGCGAGGCAATGGCAGCAGCTGTCACCAAAACCCCCGGGGGCCGTCACCCTCCTCCACCCAGGAAGCGCTGCCAGGCGAGGCGGGAGGAGGACGTGGCCCCATGACACGGGGGGCAGCAGTGAAGAAGCCGCCTGCCGCTGCACCGCAAGATGCGGTCTCTGAAAACCAAGAGACTGCTACAAATGACGCTGCCTGAGGTGGTGACCTCAACCTCACTTCTTTACCAAAATGCATCCACCAGGAAGAAAAAATGGCATTGCCTGGTCCGCCCACCTGTCCCTCATTTTTAAAAAAATGGAATTAATAACAGATACTGTATATTTTCTGTAATTCACAAGAGAAAAAACAAAAGAACTGCCATTAAGCAGATCAGACCGTCGGTCCCCCTCGCCCCGCGGCTCCTGGCATGCCATGGCAAGGAGCGAATGCTGGACGGGAGAACCAACTGGGTCTTGCCGAGGTGTTTTTCCCCCCTCTCCCTCTCCCACTTGCTCGTCTCCAACATTTAAGGTCCAGGAAGCACCAGTTCAGAGGCTGTTCCCCCAATTCCCATTTTTATTTGCAAAATGTAATCCTTGTTTGTGGCTTGAAGGAATAAATGAGCCACGAAAGCTTTGGAGGGAATGTGTGCGCCCTCAGCTGTTCCTTCCTCCATCCAAAAAAATCTCAGTAACATCTCATCCATGCATTTCTTCTCTTTTCCTATACCTCAAAAACTACTATTTTTGCTTGCTACCTGTTTCAAAAAGAACTGTCTCTATTCTTTAAACCCAAGTAGGGCACGGTTTCCCATTTATTTATTTTCTCCTTACTTAGGATTTCCTATTTATTCTCTCCTTTAAGATTTCCCCATGTATTTATTCTCTCCTTACTTGAATTTAAAAGTTATAAATTAAAAAACAAAAATAAGCTGCTTTCATTGCTTTACAGTCTAGTCTTAGTACTGCATTTCATTAAAAGGCAAGAAAATTAGTAGCTCCAAAGAAACAGCCCTCTCCATGACTAGCCAATGACACCCTCAGCTTCAGACAGGGATGCATATCATATTTTACTGTGTTTTTTTTACCTTTCAAAGCCCTCTTTAAAAGAAAGCGAACCACCTTAAAAAGAGCTATCAGAAACTACTCTAGCACAAAAAGCTACTGCAGCACTTAAAGCCATTAAATTGTAAGTATTCAAACATCTCAATTTAAAAGCCAACCTGCAGAGGAATATATTGTATTTATATAAAGGAAAAAATGTTTTCTACTCAAGAACTTGTGTGAACCATTAAGTCACCTACAAAAGCTAGAATGATGGTAATTTGTGAGTGTTTTAACATGACAAACCATTAGAGCAATTCACTTATAAGCCTCAAAAGGGACAGGGTATTACAATAGACTTCTTGGTGCTACTCCACAAATATGTTCACATAATGTACACATGAAGTGCAATTTTTTTTGCAGATAAATATATCCATAGTCTGTTTTTTTGTTTCTTTTATTAAAGTTCAGCCTTTTGTATTGAAGCCCCTCACTTTTCTTTAAGCAATGAGCAAATTTAACAAAAGATGATGCACTGTATGTAAGTCATGTGTATGTGCACTGCTTTTTCCCCCCACCTTTTGAATATAGGAGGAAGAATTTGGAAGAGGAGGGGAAAAAAGAAAGTCACACCACCCTTCTGGTCTTGGCTTCTGAAATCTTTGATTAAACCACTTAAAATTATTAGCAATGCTCAGTAAGATTAAAGTTGCAATTTCACACAGATCATCATTGCTTTGGGGAAGGAGATGATCAGCAGTAAGGGCACAAAAAAAAAAAAAGTCTCAGTAATTCAGTACATATGACACTTGTCCAGCTCCATTGGTTAGAAGTTTTTTGTTTTTTGAAGCATACAAAACCGGGCATTGTTAGAGAAGAGACACTTTGTGCTCTTCAGGATGTCCAGCAAGAAACAAATCCTCTTTTAGACCCTTCCCAGCAAGAGAAGCTAGAACATCTAAATCCTGCTCATCAGCATGAGCGTAACCAGGAGATGAATACTTTTAAAACGGTTTGAACCTACCATCTCTGGTGAGGTTTTGCTCGGCACAAAAAGCATAAAAAGTGTTATTATGGCCACAAATAATAAGTGGTGAAATACAAAATGTACCTTCCTGTTTAAAAATTGTGCAAAGTCTTTTTAGCTCAGCCAACTCAAAGGAAGACAGAATATACAGAGTTAATAGTTCAGCTACATCTATAAATTCAGTCTGTGCGGGAGAGACTACTGCACCCAAAAGATGTAGCTTTTAGATTGATAAAGAGTACAGAAAAAGGTTATAAAGATGCCAAGTTTTTGTACAAAACAGGTATTATGGCTACATTAATAAGGAATAAGTTCAGATTGGGGTCCCCTTTGTACCAAGTACACAAATTTTAAGACAGTCCTTGCCCCAGAGGAGTTTTGCAGCTTACTAGGTGGCAGAGGAAAGATAGTAGAAAGAATAGGACCATCTGTAATGTCCCCATTTAGGACATACAGAGATTTTTTGCCCAATGTCACATAAATCCAGCAGCACATCTGAGATTTGGATTCATATTTTGAAACCTAACCAGGTGCCTTAAGCACAAAACTATTCCTCCCTTTCCACAAACTTCATGAAGTGCTTTCATTTTTTGTATGATACAAAACCCATCAGTGAAAAAAACTCCACCTGTGGAGTCAGATGCAACTGTACTCAAGAATAGTTAACTGGAAGAGGAAGGAGTTAGTAAAAGATTGCACATAAGAAGAGTTTACATGATCCATTTTCTTTAATTGCATAGTAATTTGATTGTACAATCTCCAACAGAAGTATAGTAAACCACTTGTAAAGTATAACAAAATAAGGAAATGGTATTTTCATGTCAAATGAATCAAAACTGGGACTACGTATGTGGTAAAAAAATTCAATGAGTTGATAATGTTGATTGGTTGGTTGGTTAAATAAAGCTGAAGTTGGAAATCTATTTGGAGATATTCAGTCAAAGAAGTTGAGGTAACAAATAGTTAACAGAAAATGGCAAAAAACAGTTAGAAAGGAGACCAAGAGAGAAAAAACAGCTACAGGATGTCTGTACACAAGCGCAGAGGCTGCTCCAACGTGTCTAATTACACTGTGTCGGAGCAGACTCGATTAAATGGAGTCTCTCGGAGCATGGCAATTACTGCGCTCCAGCAGCTTCCTGCATCTCGTGCAGTGTCCCCACACTTCAAAAAGGTGGTGGAGGTATTTGAACTGAAGTTCATTCAATGAGCTTTAGTTCAAGTGCCCCCGCTGCCATTTTGAAGTGCAAGGGCCACTGATACACAAGACACTGCTGTGCTTTAATTAGAGTGGCTCTCAGAGCCGCTTTAATTAAAGCGACGCCTCTCCCCCACCCCCAGGGCACATGTAAAAAAGTGCCCATAGAGTTCCAGTTCAAAGCTGAAATACAAGACCATAACAATGACGCTGTACACAAATGAATAAATGTTACCATGCTCAGGATATACATTCAGGGCATTAAACAGTGCTACAGATGAGCAACATACTAAAAAAATAATAACTTAAAGCTATACAACTGTACTTATAAATACATTGGTTTTAAAACTAGTTAAAGTAGTGTTGGCTAAAAGTGTTCACAGTTACTCTAAAACAGAGCTGTATATATATATTGCACAATAGTAGAAAACGTCATTCACTATAC